TGCATAGGTAAGCTCGCTGACTAGACAGTTTACAGAAAGATAAGTCCAACCTATTTTTGCACACGACCCTAATTTTTTGCACACGGTCCGAATAAAATTCCCTTGTTCTAATCTGTATTGGTGTGTGTGTTATTTGTTATTGTTTTTCAGTAAAAAATCCAGGTTGTTATTGTCTTTCAGTAAAAAAGAACCAGTTTGAACTGGTTTAGGCTAGGCTGTCTAGACTGTGAATGAGTGACGTCATAATCCCATTGTATTTATACAGTGGATGACGTCACAATGCATAGGTAAGTCCAACCCATTTTTTTTTTTTTTGCACACGACCCTAATTTTTTTTTTTGCACACGGCCCTTACAGTATAGTGTAAAACACTATATTTAGAGCTATATACTGAATCCCCACCTTAGTCCCCAATAGGGTTAAGGGGGTTAAGGGCTAAGGGGGGTTAGGGTTAGGGGGTTAGGGATAAGGAGCATTAGGGTTAAAAGGGGTTAGGGCTAGGGGGGTTAGGGTTAGGGGCCTAGGGTTAAGGGATTAGGGCTAGGGTTAGGGTTAGGGGGGCTAAGGGGGATTAGGGTTAGGGCTAAGGGGGTTAGGATTGCACTCAATTGACGCCGGTCATCCAGCCTGATTCAGGCTAGCCGATTTCAGGATAAACCACTTCCACTTCCGCTAGGGCCCACTTCCGCTAGACCACTTAGGGTTAAACCACTTCCGCTTCCGCTAGGGGGGCCCACTTCCACCTACCCCACTTCCGCTTCCGGTTACCCCACATCCGGCCACTTCCGGTTATGAGTCACTTCCGCCCCGGCGGAAGCTTATACTACTAACATTGCTGCGTAGGTTTAACCCCCCCCACTTTCCACAGACACGTTGCAGTATAGTTTAAAAATGGGGAAACTGGTGGTGTTTGGAGAAAAAAAATTAACTTCCTTCGGTGGGGGGGTCGTCTTGAACATAGAACCTTAGCCTAGCCATAACGTTTGAACGGTAAGGGCTACGGCTTTCCTATTTCAAATATGTATTCTTGTGAAAAGAACTTTTATTGGATACAAAGAACTTTGACCTAGACCTTGGAGAACACGTGTACATCTTAACCTTTTTTCTATTTCGTTTCTATGGCAACTGTGAGCGACTCATTACAATTATTTTAAAAATAGAAATCACTTTGACACATTGCAAGGAATAAACATTGACAGTTTCAAAACGATTGCTTGAGTAGTTATTGAGAAAATTGAAATTAAAGAATTTCAACTTTCCCCTGGTTTCCATGGCAATAATTGATTATTTGAAAATTTTAAATGCAAATCGCAAAACTACAATTACTAATCACTAAAATAAAAAAAAGTTTCATGACGAATGTTCAAGGGACCAGAGAGAACACTCGCGGACAAAATTCGTCGCTTTTTGCAGGTTTCCATGGCAACGGTAGCCATTTTGAAAGTGAATGACCACATGGCACAACAACAACCAGTGATCGTCCTTTGAGGAAAGTTTCAGGAAGATTGTCCCAGCCATCTCAAAGAAAACGCCTGGACAAAAAAACATGCGTACAATAGCAATATGTTTCCCCGACTTCGTCTGGGGCGACATAATAATAATAAGAAGAAGAAACAGAGTAAAAACAATATGTTCCCCAACTTCGTTTGGGGAACATAACAAGAGAGTTAGCTGTACATTGTTTACCTCTGCTATATTCTGAGAAGAAATCTGATCCCTGATGAAAAGTAGCAGATACACATTTCAATATTACAGGATATTTTCTTGCATTGTGTCTCTGTCTTTTTTGTACAGATTTCAACCTATCTGTTTGATAACTATCAGAATCTTGTAATTTTCTTTTCTTGCTACCCTTCATTTCTCATGAAAACACCATTTCAGCATTTCAAAAAAAGTGTTCATTTCATGTATTAAATACTTGCATTTTTTCCTCTTATCGTAATTCAAATTGAAATTCTTATCTTTGATTCTTAAATTAATTTTGTGACCATCATAATGGCATTTCTTTGCAATTCTCTGATCATTACAAAGTTCCCTTTTCACGACAATATATTCTAACTTATGAATTAAAAGAAAATATATTTTCATTCAATTACTAAAGAAAGTTTAGATAAGACTACAAAATAAATAGTTTGCTGAAAAACAAGCAGAAAAAAGGCTAAATGTTCCACGTCAAAGATAAACCGTTCTAAGAATATTTCCACACTTGAAATATATCTACTCTTGAATGTCAACTCTTGAGATAGTTCTTGTGCCAAAGCAATGAAATCTTAATATCCAAAAATGATATTTCCAAAAATCAATCGAGTTCCACTCTTGAATTATAGTGACAGATTTACTGATTAACAAATACCTGTTCATAAATTTCTAAAAATATATCAACTCTTGAATGTCAACTCTTGAGGTCATGTATCAAAGCTATGGAATCTTATTAATAATATCCAAAAATATATTTTCCAAATATCAATAGAGTTCTACTCTTGAATTATAGCAACAGATTAACAAATACCAGTAAGTGCATAATTTCTTTAAAATATATCAACTCTAGAATGCACACTCTTGAGATTATTCATATGTCAAAGCAATAAAATCTTATTAATATCCAAAAATATTTTTTTCCCAAATATTACTGAATCGAGTTCCAGTTTTGAATTACCTCGTTCAAATGTCAATATTCTCGAGTTAATTTACGTTTTCTTTGAAAACAATAGATTCTTGATTGGCAAATTGCACAAAATACGTTTTCCTCTTGAAGACGCTAGATTTAATATTGAACATTTACAAATACATCACATATTTTCTTGTTGCATGTTTACATTATTTCAACCTGTCAATATGGCGCTCGACCCCTTCGATAGGTTTGTTGTTTACATACACTTACGTTATTTATACATAAATTACTGCACTAAAAACAATACCTGGGTACGAATGTGTAAAATAAACGCATTAGATTGTGAAAAATTACCTTGAAATGATTTGTTGACAGAATATATCAGTTGTTTCAGGCACGATGTTCGACGACGATCATCTCCGTGTTGACAAACAAGATAGCGTGGCGCGTATGGATACAGAGAAATAGTGCGCTCTTCAGTATCAAAATTATAAATACACAGATACTGTTCCTTGAGAAATATTATTTTTCCCATACTAGGCATTATTATTTTATTTAATGTAACATTGCTTAAAGATATGCCTGTTTTAAGCGTGGTTAATAGAAAAAAATAATGAACTATTTTTTGGCAAGTAGTAAATCGCCTAATTAGCATAATTTTCAGACAGCGAAGGCTCTGCCTTCCCACAGTTCCTCAAAAGTAAGCCTCGATGATGATTTCCCCCTAGCCTGGTCCCCTGGCTCATCTTTGAAGTGTTTAACTTGCGAATGTATACAACACCAGTGGCTTTCTTTCCTAAAGACCATTTCTGTTTTTTTAAAGATATTGGAGCGAAATTTTGATAAATAAGAAATAGTTGTAAACTTCTGTACGAACCCAAACAATAGTATGAAATTCCTTTTGAGGTGTGGACTATGTTTTATATCGAAAGGTTAAAAGTTAATATTTTATAAACGCTCTATAAACTTGCTTACTTCATAATGTACACATATGAATCTTACATCATTTTCAAAGTGAATTGCGATAGCTTTTACGCTGAATTAGCATATCTGGCGAAACATTTTTTACACTGGAAAGCAAAATGATTTTGTAAATGGTAGTGATTAGAGGTGTCCGCCATTAATCTAGACGCTGACTACCGAGGCTGACTTACGTCACCTCGAAAAAGCATACACTGCCCCAAGTTATGTCATATCGTATAACATAGGTTAAAATAAGCTTCATTCCTTCGCGGTTTATAAAGCGTAAAGTGTCCAAAGTTATGTTATTTCGTATAACATAGGTTAAAATAAGCTTCATTCCTATGATTTATTTAAGGTAGGACAACACGACAATTTTTCCTCAAAAATGGCTTTAGATTGAGCATATCTTAGAAATAACGTCATGCGGAGTAATATGTTCTTGGCGTAATTCATTGTGACATGGGCAAATTCTGTTATACTAATTAAATACTTCTTAATAACTAATAATGAAAAATGCAGCAATATACCTTCATCACCTGCATACGGAGTGAATATATCTCAGTTGATTCGATACGCAAGAAACGAGGTAAATTATTACCAAGTAAGTTGATGAAACAAGAATTTCAGCAGTCTCGTTTAAAGTCATCATTTCGTAAGTTCTATGGTCGATACAATGACGTGTCAGCAAATACAATTTACCATTACGGCAAATGCTGTCTGACGTTTTTCATACTAATTGCTAGTCCATTATTTATACAATGAATTGACGACATATTTTATCCGTTATTTCCCGCTCATGACAAGGAGACCGGTCAGCAGGGGATGCTCACTCCTTCATGGCACCTGATCCCACCTCTGATGTTTCGGGGGTCCGTGTTTGCTCTGCTCCTATTTTGTATTGTCTTATGGACTATTGAATACTGTTCGTTATCTCCATATCCTTCTTACAAATTTCTGTTTCTGATCGAATTTCTTACCTCGGTCGAAACTGACTTGTGTCTATAAAAATATACAGATACCAACTGTTCCTTTATCAGACGTTCTAAATAAGAGTGAATAACGCTGACAACATACAATCAATCTTTTAATCAATCTCACAATTTTTGGTCCATATGTCTACAGATAGATTGATGGGTTTTTTTGTATCTGAAGAAAATGTATCATTTTTGAATATTTACACACAACATGTACGAGCATAGATCTTTATGGTATATGTGATACTTGTTGAATTCATGACTATTTACAAGCCTTGTAACATCTTCAATCAATTTTACTTGAATGAATAAAAAAAAATCCTCAATGGATTATCCGATACTTTTTGACTTCATGACTAGTAACACGGCTTGTAACATTTGTAATATTTTTCACAAATGTGTGAAAACATGTCTCAATAGTATATTCAACATTTGTTGACTTCACGACTTTTTCAATCTTTTTCACAAATTTATGTAAACATTCTCAATGGTTTATTCGATATTTGTTGATTTCACGACTTGTAATATTTTAATCTTTTTCACAAATGTATGAAAACGTCCCCCCGTCACAATTATAATCTCCCCAGACGCCCCCATGGCAAATTTGTACACAGTCCCCTACCCAAGCATTATCCGGTTCACTGGGGTACCAGTTGGAGTAGGAAGTGACGTCACGGTTGTTTCCTGTCCAGACAAACTTCCCCTCCTGTTCAATATCGTTCGCACCTATCCAATGTGAACAACAATGCCACCATGTACTGCATTCCCCTGAAAGTTGTTAAATAAAACGAAGAAAAGTTAATTAATTTTGTTTTAGAAGACTTTCAAAAGTGGACATCCGGTTTTCTAATCAATCGAATCTTATGTTATATGCTTGATGGTAAATAATATTATTCAATAATATTTTTATCAAGAAAAAACTGTACCAGGACCCCAGACTGGCAGGAACGTTTCTGTCAACCATTTATTTTCTTCTTCCGTGTCTATGGTAACCAAGTAGGCCCCTTGCCTTTCACAGTCATCCTGAAATAATTCTTTCTTATTTAGGCCATTATTAAAATATTGTTGGTTTGGCGTTGCCGACTCAGTCTTAAAGGTTTGGGTCGGTAGGTAGGGGAAATTTTTTTTTTTCAAATTCAGAAATGTTGTTAGTATTCGAGCGTCATGGGTTTCTGATTGTTTTACAACAACTGCTGTCTGAATTGATTCCCAGTTGTTATTTATTTTCAAACCCTATTAGTTTTAAAACTTTTATATACATGGTATAAAAAGTCGCCGACATTGAATTGGCATCAAGTCGTTTTCATATGAACGAATCTAAGCATGACTGCTAGATTCATCCAGCAAATCAGTGACAGTTAATCAGACATGACATTGTTCCTTGAAGTTTCTATTTGAAACTGGTATAACTGATTCGATTCGTCAGTATATTTTTGCCATTTTAAGACACCCATATACGCGGAGAGTCTTGGCATCAACTTCTCTTATACCGAGTTTACATTACCGCTTTCCACAGCCATGCCTTGGATTTGTGATATGCAATATCAACATCACATAGATGCTTATAAAAGAAAACTGTTCAATCAATTAAGTATTTACATGATTCTTCCTTATTTTGTATATTACTCAAACGTACAGACACCCAAATCCTGATAAATATGACCCAAAAAAATTATGATACGTAAAATTTGAAAACATTTCTTCCGACCGCACCGATTTACCCGAGTCGAACGGCAACGCCAAACAAAGCTAATTTTATTTTTGGCCTTATTGCCAACAGACTGATAGGAAATGATAATTAAAAAAGATATAATTGTCCAAATTATGAGGCACGTGCTTTTATGTATGTCAGGATACATGAAAACATTATAACTGACATGTTATTCTTACCTTGGCATTTGGCCATGTGACCCTATTCTTGATTTGTAAGTAATAATGCATCTCATACAACAGCCAACCCTCTCCTATAAAGATCAAATTTTTGAGTTTCTGAAGTTTTTTCTTTAGCTTTATTTTTATCTTTGAATGTGAAGAAGATTAAAATGTATTCAAAGATAAAATAAATCAACAGATCTACATGTATAAAGAAAGAAAATGAATTGCACACATTGAAACCAATTTAATGTAAATACTTTTGATACGATAATATTGAATGCACATTATATGATTGGATTTTAAGATAAAACAAATAACTGCATATTTGTTTCTTATACCAAAGAATAAAAAAAAAACCAATAAAATGAATTTATACCTCATCAGAAAATTAAGTAAATAAATAAACATTAAAAAAAAAAACAAAAAACAATACATGAAGTTAAATTTCTTTTTACAAATTTGACAAGGTACCCTTTTGAAATAAACAATATCATCAATATAAATTCTGGATAGGCTTTCGTACGTATGCAAGATCTCCAAAATAACAACATAAATCCTGTTTGCACAAGTTAATAGAATATGTTTGATCGCATAGATTTTGAGGTTATAATGATTGGATTTGAAGTGAAGAAAATTTGTAAAGATCTAAAATGGTTGTTGCAGAAAGGTAGAATTCTAAATATCGTAAAAAGTTCAACATTTCTGAACATTTTAGAAATATACTTTTTATCTATTACAAACAATATGGATAAAAACACACATATCAATACAGACATCTGTTTTTGTTTCTCTTATCTGCTTTTAATGCTCTACAGATCATTATTTTTATTTTTTGGTATGTCCTACCTTCTAATTTTGAATTGTAATACCTCCACCCAGTCTCGTTATCAGTTATAGTCACAGAATCACATGATTTATATAGATGACACTTCTTTGTCTGGGAGTTGTAGCCAAGACAGTGACAGTTCTGACCACACATAGCGAAACACAGCGTGAGAGAGTCCGAATGGTGTGCTGACAGGAGAGTGTCGTAAAACACTGTATCATCTAAGTCAGTGTCCGCGAAATAATGAGACTGGAAAAATGTGGCCCTTGTCCAAGTCAACACAGAGCAGAGAATCAGACAGGTGCTGAATCCTAGCATTACTACTAAAGATTATGCAAAGCTTAAAATCAGCACTGCTGTGTAATTCCGCCACCAAGTCTGGTAATAATATACACAGAATCATATGATTTATAAGGATGACGTTTCTTCCTCTGGGAGGTGTGTTCCTGTATCATCTAAGTCAGTATCCGCGACATACAAAGCTCAACTTCAGATGGATAGGGCATTTGAACATTTGAGAGTGCATAAGATTCAAGGCATGAAATTATCTAACTTCCTTTCAGTTATAAATTGAGTGCAATATTGCAAACAAAATTTAATCCGTATATATCCCTAGTGTATGTATTATATCCCTAATATCAATACGATACGACTATTTTTAGGCTTTATATCTTATAATGTATATATTAGCATCCCTTCTTATGTGTCTCTATGAGTTAAAAAAAAAGCTTTGAAACCTTATAGAACTCTACGAATGCTTTATACTCGATTGTAAATGGATTATGAATTATTAATCATCTAAAATAAAGCGGTACTTCATATTTGATTGCAAGAGCATTTGATGATTCTGAGTATTATGAGTTCATTAAACGAGCGGGATATCCATTTGATTGTATTGTAGACAATGTGGCAGTTTTTTTTAACCCAAGAGAATTGGAGCACTTTGCTCAGTCGATTTATCTTGAAGAAATACAAAGACCCATTAAATCATGCTATTAATTTTCTTAAGATAATATTTTTTTCAAGAATTGTATCTCTATAAGTTAAAAAAAAGCTTTAAAATCTTATAGAATTCCACGAATGCTATAAAGTCAATGTGTAAATGGATTATGAATTATTAATCATTTTTTTAAAAAGTGGTACTTCATATTTGATTAAAGAAGCATTTGATGATTCTAAGTATTATGAGCTCATTAAAAGAACAGGATATCCATTTGATTGTATTGTAGACAATGTGGCAGTTTCTTTGACCCACGAGAATCGGGGCACTTTGCTTAGTCGATTTAATTGAAAATCTTTTTTATTTTATCTTGGAGGAATACAAAGACCCATCAAATCATGCTATGATTTTTTAAGAAATAAGGTATCATTTTTAAACATCTATCGGGACATAAATACGGGTTGGTCTCGAGATTAAATTCCATAAAGCCCGAAGGGCTTTTATGATGAATTTAATCTCGTACCAACCCGTATTTATAGCCCGATAGATGTTTTAAAATGATACCTTATTACTTATATTTACATTTGTGACTTATTCATACTTTATATTTGCCTGATTGTGACTTTTAACGTGTGAAATGCGTTATTTTTCAAACCCAACGGCATGTATGTAATCCGCTGAACACGCATCGACCATTTATGACGTCACTGAGAAATTACATCGAAGTTTATCTATACGCACATTTATGACCTCTTGACCCTGTACTGGTATTTATACAGTTATAGATACGCATTGCTTTCAGTAGTGTTATACAAAGGAAAACATTTGCAAATGTAAATATCTTAAAATAAAATCTTGTAAGAATTGTAAGCTGATTTAAATTTACGGAAAATGTTCACTGATATTTCAGTGACAAAATCCAGAAATATATTACTTTAAAATCACATATTTTCGTGGATTGAGGAACGAAAAAATATGGATTCATAGAGATTTGCTTTCGTGGATGAAGAAGTATTGAGTATTTATGTACAATATAGGACATTTTTCTTTCTGTGGTTGTGTTCATTGATCACATTATGAAATTAAAAAAAAAATTATTCCTTAATAACATACCAATGATTTTAATTTTTGAATAAAATATATTATTATACAAGAAATGGTTTTTTTATTTTCTGAAAATTAGTTCTAAGAAGTTTATAAAAATGAAATTTATCTGTAACGGGACTGTCTAGGGGTTAGTCCCGTACATAGTCCGAGTTCAGAAGGATAAAAGAATAACAAGAATTTCATTGATTAAAGAATTAGATTCTGTATTCTGTTGCAATATTTACAGCCAATAAAACAAACTTTAAAGATATGAAACGTTATACAAAATCAAAGAATGCGATAATTCCCATTACAAAATTTAGCCATATTCCCCAAAATACATTTGACCAGTAATAATAATAAAATGTAGACATATCTTGATTCACGAATGAACATAATGATATAATAATAATAATTCCAAGCCGGGTACTATAGACCCGGGCGCACCTAACACGGACGGGTTATAACACAGAGGGGAATAACTCTAAACAACAAGTAATGACAAATAGCGGGAAATATGAAGAAAATATTGCACATATATAAATACACTGTTATTAAATACCATATAATTGAATACACATAAAAACCACCGCACTCCACCTTCCTTAAGTCCTTATGTGTATGATATATATATATATATATATATATATATATATATATATATATATATATATATATATATATATATATACATGTATATTTACATGTGAGCCTTATAAATCCAAGTAATAATTCAAAGTGACATACATTTAATTATCATAAAATACCTATAACATACATGTATCAATATACAGAAACTTCAAGATTACAAACATGCATTTACTTACATGTACAATTACAGTACAATAATTTTTTATTTTTCTGTATTTTTATTATTCATCATTCTTATTATATAGCAGTTTATAGAGGTGTATATTTGGTTTGTTTTGGTAGCTTTTTGTTGTACATCTTAATTTAAACATACAATGTAGTTAATTCAAATGCAATACTTACATTTTTAAAATAAAAAAAAAATCGTGTTGACTGAAGTTGCAATTGATGAAGCAGATATTTTGATTCCGAATGACCCCATTTTAATTTTTGTTATTTTTTTTTCTCTCCATTAATAAAACTTACGCTACATCTGTACAACATTAAAATTAAATAGATTTAAGTAAAAAATTTATTAGTTATCGGCGCAATCTTTACATTTTTGTACATTATTCTTTTTGAGCAATGGTCTGGTTCGTTAAAAAGTTCTATAAAGCTTTTACGAATTGTAACCTTGAAAATCATAGAATGTAAAGAATGAGTATAAAAAACAGATTTACAAGGGTTTTATCGTATTTAATCAAAGTTTCAAAGTTTTCACTAAGTAAATCAAAGTTCCAAAGTTTTCACTATAGTGAATCAAAGTTCCAAAGTTTTCACCATAAGAAGTCAAATTTCCAGAGTTTTAACTATAGTAGATCAAATTTACAAAGTTTTCACTCAAGTAAATCAAAGTTCCAATGCTTTCACTATAGTAAATGACAGTTCTAAGGTTTTTGCTTTGGTACTATATTTAACTATGTTAACATGCAAAATGCAACTTATTATCTTGCATGTTGACATAAATATCTTATATGTAAAAATATGTCGCATGTTGACATAACTAAGTCGCACGTTGAAATAAATATCTTGCATGTTAACATAAATAAGTAGCATGTGAACATAATTATCTTGCATGTGAACATAAATATCTTGCATGTATACATAATTGTCTCACATGTTAACATAATTAACTTGCATGTTGACATAAATAAGGTGGCATATCTACATAATACTAACTTGCATGTTGACATAAATATCTTGCATGTCTACAGTATTTTCTCGCATGTTAACATAAGTAAACCGCATCTGATATATACGAGGGTTGTTCGGAAATTAAAGTGACATTTCTTTTAACTCCATAAAAGAAAAAGATCAAGTTATGAAAATTTGCCAAAATTTAATCAAGAACATACACAACAAATATGCAAATTTTCTGTTCAGTAGCTTTGTAGAAAATTCATGGGGAGAAAATGAATCTACCAATGTTTAATGATTCGGAGCAATTCGCAAGGGTTTTTCGACGTCAATTTGACGTTACATCACGTTAATGTTTGATTTAAGCACAATTACTCCATCTCAAATTAAACGCCATCTAGGAGGATGCACTTCTCATGCCGAGCAACCAATTTATCATAATCAGTTCTGCTCCAGTCATTTTCTA